GGAATACGACTGCTATCTGGGAGGACCAGTTTTCGTAGCTGTTTCTTCTGAAAAATGAAATTACTTGCGCATGTGATTTGATCTAATGTATGAACATCGATTCATACCAGATTATTTTTATCCATAAAAGCAATCATTGAAGTATGACTATTAACGAAAGGGATTCCAGCAGCTATCATAGATCGTAGGATGGTTTTCGACTGCTGACTATGAGCTGCTGACGGTCCAACAAATGCTGCTTGGGGACAGAAGGTCCTGCAACGAAGAAAGTATAAGCCGCGTTAAATGAGATGTTTCCGAATATTTTGCATTATAAAAATCGAACTTGTGTAGATCTTTTGGCTGTGTTCGGTATTGCTATATGGTTTACAAATAAAATACATCACTTAAATTTTTCCACAACCCGCTTACCTTGGATCCCGTCCCGGTTGATTGATTTCTACGGTAAGGCTGTTTTCTGTGCATATTACGTCCAGTTCTGGAAAATCGGCCTGTAACGAAGATATATCATGAACACACCATAGAATCACTATTTCTACCTCAAAAGGAATAGAATTAACTTTGAAATTTTACGGTTTTGCGATAAACAATTACGTTGTGGATAGATGTACCTCTTACCGTAACCTCTATTTAGTCCTTCAGGTGTGAAATTCCCAAAGTATAGATTCATTCTAAAAATATCAATTTTCCTTACCTGTTCAACCCTTATCGGAAACTCGTTAGGATTTCGAAAGTATTTACTCCTGAAAGTATTTAGCTTTCTTCCCAATCGCTCCTGATTACTGTAGCTACAGTATCCCTACCAATCAACGGCTTGATTGTCGATTACAAGTAGTACTTTAGCATCCGGTGGCATCACAGGGGCACCTCGGCTACGATCGTGTTGTAATGAACGCTCAAGTGCAGCAGCTAGCGATTCTGACGATCTGGCTGGAGACGTGGGGGCGCTAAAAAGGAATTTTGGATTATCAGAAATTGAAGCAATCATATATACTTGAAAAAAATAAAAAGAATTTTCCTGTGAAGGAAATTGGCAGTTGATGTAGAAGAAGTAAACTTATAGAAGAACATTAGATTTCAAAGTGTGCAGGAATTCAGGAAATTATGTGCGGAGGAGTGAATAGTGCTATTAGGCTCCGCCTTCGCGGACAACTCGGCCTCATGAATAGTAGAGCATATGCAAAAAGGACCAATTGACCGATATTGCGTGTTTTTTCTCTCTAATTTATTTACTATAGATTTAGGTTGGAGATTGATTTATGTCAACCTTTCCCTTTAGTTCTGAAAAAACAGAAGCTTCCTAGAATCTCCAAATTTGTCCAGATGTGGGCCAGAACAAGGCCGACAAGCCTGATGATCGGTGCCGCAAATGCACAAGTATGTAAATCAACGACATGTTTGTATCACTCAAAAGATACATTTTTTCTCTGCGTGTTTTTCCCAGATTTTCTGATAAATTCACAATGCTCTTTTATGGCAGCACTCTGACACCACTAGCGAAACAAAAAGGATGGCAAAAAATATACAAAAATTCAAAATTTGTCAAAATTTTTTGGTTTTATGTGCATCATTTAGAATTCGAAGGAAATTAGAGGAGTATAGGATTTGTAGGTTTTGACAGAAATGGCTATAAATTGCCACCCATAATAGGCTTTTCACGCACGAACCGTAGATGGTAAAAGAGAGGTAGCTTTGCGTCAACATGCTTGAATTTGGATTTTTCGGAAGGATTTTTCAAGAATAAGAAAAGGTGT